GCGCCCTGGCCTCTGGTCACCATCTTGGGACCAGAAGTCCCACGCCCTAACCCTGCAAAATAAGACAATGCAATGCCCCAAAAGCGTAAGCACTTGCTGCAGAGTCCCAGAGGAAGTGAAAAAGATCTGCTGGCTGAACACAGCTGGGTGAAGATATATAAGGAAAGAATCAAAGTGCTGTTAAGGGAGAGGCACTGTGGGTTTTATAGACCAAAAAGTCAGGAAAAGGCATTCTTAAAGCAGGTAATAATATCAGATTTACCCAAATCCAAGATTAATCTGAATTTAAGATGACCCTGAATTTAAGACCCCCCCCCCCATAATTAGATTCTGTATATGAAAAATGTGTTGTATATTTTCCATATACAGAATCCAACTATGGGAGGGTCATTTTAAATTTGTCACCCCACAACTGTGGTGGAGAAAGCAACGAGGCCTCCAACCGGGGGGATCAAATGGCCTAACACCTTGGCCTCTGACACCTGTGTTGTGTCATAGTTTCATAGCTTGTAGGGTTGGAAGGGACCTGGGCAGATCATCGAGTCCGACCCCCTGCCATGGCAGGAAAGAATACTGGGGTCAAACGATCCCAGCAAGGTGTTCATCTGGCCTCCTCTTAAAGACCCCCAGGGCAGGAGCCAGCACCACTTCTCTTGGAAGTTGGTTCCAGATCCTAGCAGCACCTTGCACTTGTCAGTGTTGAATCCCATCCTGTTCTCATCTGCCCACCCCCGTAAACTGTCTAAGTCTGATTGCAGCCTATTCCTCCCTTCTAGCATGCCCACATCCCCCCACATCTTAGTGTCATCAGCAGATTTGAACAGGGTGCTCTTTACCCCCTCGCCCAAGTCGCTGATGAAGATGTTGAACAGTGCAGGCCCAAGGACCGAGCCCTGGGGGACCCCACTGCCCACATCCCTCCAGGTCGAAAATGACCCCTCCAGCCAGTTGGCAACCCATTTGACTGTGTGTAGGTGTCAACACCAGTCCCCCAGTTTCTTAATGAGAACGGAGTGAGAGTCAGTGTCGAAGGCCTTCCAAATGTCCAGGAAGACAATGTCCACTGCTACCCCTGCATCTAAGGATTT